GTCTGTCCAGGTCCTGGGGTGAGGACCTGGACAGACCCTCTTGAAATGAACCCAGGTTTGGCGGATCGTAACTGGGAGAGATGATCCTACAAGAACATGAGTGCCAAGCTATGTATGGCTTTTAAGATCAAAGCCAGCACCTTCAATTGGGCCCTGTGGCCTATCGGAACCAATGAAGTGATATCAGCAAAGGTGGAGCCTTCTTTCTCTTGTCTGAAGTTTGGGGGCTGCATTTTGAACCAATAGCAGCTTCTGAATTGTCTTCAAGGGCAGCTCAATGTTCAGAACTTTGCAGTAGTTTAGCCATGAGGTGATGGTATAGGTCACTGTTGCAAGGGTGCTCTGATCCCCAAAGGCCCACAACTGGCACACCAATCAAAGTTGGGCAAGGCCTTCATGGCTACATCCTCCACCTACTACTTGAGCAGTAGCCATGGGGCCAGGAGAACCCCCAAATCAGCAACCTGCTTTTTTAGGGAAGTCCAGAGCCTAACGAATCCAGCCAGATTGATCATTTACAAACAGCAGCACTGTCTTGCAGGTATTTAATTTGAGCTGGTTTAGTCTCATCTGGCTCCTTATAACCTCCAGAAGCTGGATCAGGACCTTCATAGCATCTCTAGCCCAGCCTAGGGTGACAATATGTTATTAAGTATCAACAGTGTATTGATGATACCTCACCCTAAACTAGCAGATGATTTCTCCCAGAAATTCTAGGTAGATCTTTAAAAGCATGAGGGAGAAAGGCAGACCCCATGGCATCACAATCTGGAGGAGCCAAAAGCTTGCCTGTTCTTCTTGCACATTGACTGATACTGTCTACTCAGGTAGGAGATGGTGCTTCTGCTCCAGCCCTTGCAGATGGTCAAGGGGGATGCCATGGTTGATGGTGCTGAATGCCAGAGAGCAGTCCAATAGGACTAGGAGGGGTGCACTCACCCCATGTAAGTCCTGATAGGGCAGTCCTGATGCTGCATGGCTGGCTGGAGAATTCTGGGAATTGAAGTCCACCCATCTTAAAGTTGCCAAGGTTGAGAAACACTGTGATGCAGATAATCAACCAGGGCATCCAATGCTGTTTCTGTCCCATGTCCGTGCTTGAATTTTAGATATTCTAGAAATGTAGAATATGACCTGATTTATTTTTAAGTTTATTAACACTGTATACAATTTCTATATTTCAGAAAAAAGGGCATGGAATAAACCACAATTTTCAAATTTCATTGTCATTTGAGCTCAGATAGGTCAGTATGGGCAAAAAGCTGGGTATTCTTGCTTACCTGTATTTTCTTTGGTGTGTCCTGCTGGATGAGAAGCCAGGAGTCTTGCCAAACCGAACCTCACAGAGGGAAAGCAAACAAGCCAGAAACTAACTGTCTATAACTCTTTGAAGAAGAAATACAGAGCTTCAGAGCCCTCTGGGAACGGACAAACACTGTGCTGATTGCTAGTTCCTGTTTTCTGCATATCAGGGCAGGTTCAGTGCCATGGATAAATATCAAAGGATGTAAAAGTTCACTTTAACAAGTACCTTTTTTAAATTGCTTTTAAAACAATGACAAAAAGAAAAGGAACAAAACACAAAGATAATTATGATAGAAATACATAGATTATCAAAGTAAAAAACCACATAGCAAGTGCTTTTAAAAAAGTGAAAAAAATACAACAAAGAAAAAAAGAAAAAATAATATGACATGTTAACAGTAAACAGTTACAATTCTATATATACTTATCTAATGCAAATATTATATAAGTATATTAGAAATATATACAGTACTGCACAAAAGTTTTAGGCAGGTGTGAAAAAATGCTGTAAAGTAAAAATGCTTTCAAAAATATATA